TCTTTACAGTCTTTATTTTACAGTTAAATTAATGTTTATCAAATAAAGTTTAATGTTACAACTAATCAGGATATCCCTTTAAATCCTCATTAAAACATGACAGAACCAGGATTCATGACATAAATTAAAAAAGCATCAACCAGCATAAAAAAATTTCTAYATAAAAATCCTTAAACTCTGCAGCCATGACACATCCACTGTCAAACACGTGCTTTTATTGTGAAAGAGCAAAGTTTGCTTTTGTTTGAAACGTGCTCAGCCTCTACAAGAAGAAAGCCATGCTTCTGTTTTAAAGAGCAAAACTACAAATACTTTAGAAAAATAAAACCCGTCAGCCACAATGTGTCATAAAAAGCGTTGCAGATTAAAAAAGTGTAGAACAGATTATCACAGAGGGAATGAAAAAACAAACGTGTGCTTTCAAACGGCAACGATAAGGAAAAGGATGCACAAGGCGAGCCTCACATATTCCAGCTGAGCTTCCTCTGGAGAAAGATTCGTTTGTTGGGATCCAGGCGGGAAGAGAGGAGAGAAAGAAACGCGTGAAGATAAACGAGGAGRGACAAGAGAAAGTGCAGGAGAAAGGAAGAGAAATAACGGTTCTGACACGTCACTGCTGACCAACAATCTGCTCCGAGAAGTACCTTCATTTATCCATTAAGTGGCTTTGAATGACCGTTCTTTGTTTAGTTCTGAAGACATGTTACAGCTGAAGAGCAGCCAGAGTTCCTGAACATCAAGAAATTAGAAAAAGGCTTTAATCTGGATTAAACTAACTCCCTGTCTGCCTTCAATTATTGACACTTTATAGTGGGATCAGTTTGTGTTTTACAATCGAGCTGATTCTGTGTTTCTGTGGATTTATGTGAACATGGCTGCAGGGACTAAATGTTTGTTCTGAAGCAAATGAAAACAGAAGTCATGACAGTAAAGTTTACTGTACTACTACACAGATCCTGAGTACCAGCAGGGGTACTCAGACCACAGTTTAAAGGAGACATTATGACGCTTTTAAATCCTTCACTTAGGGTCTATATAAACTGCAACACTTTGGTCTGAATTCCTCCTTATTGTAGCTCCACAAGCCCCGCCCATTTTCTGGGGCATGTCTCAGAAACGATGCTTTTAAACCCTTCACTTAGGGTCTATATAAACTGCAACACTTTGGTCTGAATTTCTCCTTATTGTAGCTCCACAAGCCCCGCCCATTTTCTGGGGCATGTCTCAGATACGATGCTTTTAAATCCTTCACTTAGGGTCTATATAAACTGCAACACTTTGGTCTGAATTTCTCCTTATTGTAGCTCCACAAGCCCCGCCCATTTTCTGGGGCATGTCTCAGATACGATGCTTTTAAATCCTTCACTTAGGGTCTATATAAACTGCAACACTTTTGGTCTAAATTCCTGCTTATTGTAGCTCCACAAGCCACGCCCATTTTCTGGGGCATGTCTCAGATACGATGCTTTTAAATCCTTCACTTAGGGTCTATATAAACTGCAACACTTTTGGTCTAAATTCCTGCTTATTGTAGCTCCACAAGCCACGCCCATTTTCTGGGGCATGTCTCAGATACGATGCTTTTAA